CAATATTTGAAATTTCACACAATTCAAACCTGGCCTTAATCCATCTTTACAAAAATATCCCCCACATGGTGAACATAAGCAAATGATCTGTTTCCATGCAAGCAGCACTCCCTACCTAAATTGCACTTTCCCTTTTCTCTCATACAAAAGTTCTATCTCTTCAAGCACTAAACCAAGGTCCAACCTTCCCTTTACTTAAATTACTCTCTGATAACCTGACAAACACCTTCAGACATTCTTTTTACCCAACCTGATGTCAAATTCAAAATCAAGGACCAGGTCTTACACATCTCAGTGTGTCTCACCGCAATTAAGCAGCCAAGAATTGTGTGCCCTGACAAGAATCATTACACAATGTGAGCTAGGAAATGCATCTGAAATAGGTAACAGATAATGCACCAGAACTTAACACCTCATCTCATAATCTGAATTGTTTACATTTACCAACTGCTTTGTCATAAATGGAAAACATTTCCTGCCCAAGAGACTAAACAAGATATGTATTAATTCACTTAAAATTTCAAAAGATGGTAACAAGAGAACTTACCAGAAAAGTTGCCATGAATGGCAAAGCTGATGCCAGTGGCTCTCTGCAAGGTTAAGTTGTACAGAAACATGGTTGCAGGAAATCTGAGTCACCCAGACCTCCAGGTCTTGGTTACACCAACAGTACTGAGTCCAAGAAAGCTAAGGAAATAGAAAACAGAAAAATAGCTGGGAGGCTATTACTTCAACAGACATTTCGGTATGGGAAATTCTGGATGAGGACAGCAGAACCAGTAGAGCAAGCCCTATTAAGAAACAACATATGTGGCCGGGCATGGTGGCTCACGAGGTCAGGAGTTCGAGACCAGCCTGGCCAACACAGTGAAACCGTCGTCTCTACTAAAAATATAAAAATTAGCTGGGCATGACACTGTGTGCCTGTAGCCCCAGCTACTCAGGAGGCTGCAGCAGGATAATCACTGTAACCCGGGAGGCGGAGGTTGTGGTGAGCCAAGATCATGCCTCTGCACTCCAGCCTGGGCAACAGAGTGAGAGTCCGTTTCAAAAAATGAAACAACATACGGTCAGGCGCAGTGGTTCACACCTGTAATCCCAGCACTTTCGGAGGCCGAGGCAGGTGGGTCATCAGGTCAGGAGTTCAAGACCAGCCTGGCCAACATAGTGAAACCCTGTCTCTACTAAAAATACAAAAATTAGCTGGGCATGGTGGAGAGTGCCTGTAATCTCAGCTACTCAGGAGGCGGAGGCAGGAAAATAGCTTGAACCGGTACCCAGGAGGCGGAGGTTGCAGTCAGCTAAAATGGTGCCACTGCACTCCAGCCTGGGCTACAGAATGAGACTTTGTCTCAAAAAAATAAACAAACAAACAACATACTTTTAATTAAGAGCGCCCTCTAAACGACAAGTCAAGATGCCATATATTTTGCCTTTAACCTCACAGGAATCCTATTAAATTGCAGTACTATACCTATTTTATAGATAAGAAAACTCAAGTGCAGAGATTAAATCACCTGCCCAAGGTCACTTAACAAATGGTAAAAATGTTGCAAGCTGGAATCTGTAACATTAATGCAGTATTAGGCAACTTGTCACAAACACTAAGTACCTCGGTTTACTTGTATTCCAATAAGCTATACATTAACATAATTCAGCACCCAAAAGCACAGCAAAAAGCTCCCTCCAACCCATTACCTAGCCATCCAGTTCTCCCTGGGGGAATCTAGTTTACCAAGTTATAACGTATCCGTTCAGATATTTTTTATATATACAAATAAAAACATACATTTATACCGTAGAGACAGGGTTTCACTATGCTGGGCAGGTTGGCTTCAAACTTCTGTGCTCAAGTGATCTCCCACCTCAGCCTTCCAAGGAGCTGGGGCTACAGCACCTGGCTTATACTGCACTTTATTAACCCCTTTTAACCTTTAACCAAGGGTTGGGTACTGTATTTCATACACTCACACTATATTGCACCTTACTTCGTATTACTTTATCTGCACAATAAACAAAAGGCCATCTCATTTTTACTTTGCAGTCTCACAGTTTTCCAATGAATGGGCATATTATAATTCATTTAGCCAATAGCCCACCTAACATTCAGGTGTTTCCAATCTCTTGCTATTACGAATACTGCTACAAAGAAAGTCCCTTGTATGTAGGTCATACATATGCTCGTATGTCTCTAAAATTAATTCCTGTAAGTGGAACTGTTGGATTGAGGGATTCATAGATTTGAAAAGTTGTTAGGTACTGCTGAATTGCCTTTCAAAGAGACGTCCAATTACATGTCCAGCAAGGTATGAGTCCCCATTTCCCCACAACTAGCCAAAATGGTTAAGACTTGACCTTTGCTAATCTACAGAAGAAAAATGGTTTATTAAGTGTACTTTTCATTTGCATCTCTTATATAACTGTATATTCAAGGATTGATTAGAATTTAAAATTTCAACTTACACATCACCAAAAACTAAAACAAAACCATTTCTGCTGCGTCAGGAGGCGGCCTTCCTAAAGAAGTATAAAGTCACAGAAAAGGATTCTTTCTCAGCAAATAGGACTGAAGACAGCACAAACTGTACCTCTGCCATAATTACCCAAAACTATACCTATAGATACCACTACAAAATGAACTATGTTTCCCCAGTGCAATTATTTATAAACAAAAGCATAGGAGACCAGCCACGGTGGCTCACTTGACCTTGGGAGGCCAAGATGGGCGGACTGCCTGAGCTCAGGAGCTCAGGAGTTCCAGACCAGCCAGGGCAACACGGGGAAACCCCATCTCTACCAAAAATACAAAAAATTAGCCAGGTGTGGTGGTGCGCATCTGTGGTCTCAGCTACTTGGAAGGCTGAGGTGGGAGGATCACTTGAGCCTAGGAGGTGGAGGTTGCATTGAGCCAAGATGGCGTCACTGCACTCCAGCCTGGGCAACAGAGTAAGACCTCATCTCAAAATAAAAAAAAAAAAAGCACGGGACCTTGAGAAATCCAGCTTCATTGCTATAGAATTAACATACAGATTTGATTTTATTGTTAAACGAGGACAGAATTAGGAAGAAACGTCCTCATAAATAACTACTATTTCTGGGCTGGGCAAAAGCAGGGTGGCAAGATCAATCCTCCAGGCTAGAAATGGGTCCTAAGAGATATAAAATTTTCTACTTGAGACTAAGGTACATCTTTAATGTTCTAGGACCACAGGAAAAGACAAACAAAAAGGACCGAGGTTGAAAGACCAGGGAGTGGAGAAACAACCAACAAAAAAAGCAAAAGAGAGGAAGCTAGGAGCTGCTTCTGAATCCTTGAACAGCTCCCCCCGTTACTTTTCATATTTTGTAGCTGACGAGAACAGTCTACTTTCCCCTTTCCTTATAACTGATTCAATCCATTACAAACTTTTGGAATTCATTTTTTCCAAACCTAGTTGGATTCAGGTTCTCCAGCAACACTTTAATTCTTGGGTCGTGCAGGAAGGTGCATTTCGGAGGATGAGTCCAGTACTAGAAAAATTATATACCAGGCTAGGCGCGGTGGCTCACGCCTGTAATCCCAGCACGTTGGGAAGCCGAGGCAGATGGGTCACTTGAGATCAGGAGTTCGAGACCAACCTGGCCAACACGGTGAAAACCCCTCTACTAAAAATGCAAAAACTAGCCGGGCGTGGTGGCACACGACTTTAATCCCAGCTACTGGGGAGGCTGAGAGGCGCGAGAACAGCTAGAACCCGGGAGGCAGAGGCTGCAATAAGCCGAGATCACCTCACTGCACTCCAGCCTGGGCGACAGCGAAACTTCGTTTCAAAAACAAAGCAAACAAACAAAAAACATATACCAGATAAATTTGGTAAGCTTTAAAACTTCCCCACGTCTGGGCTGGGGGCGGTGGCTCACGCCTGTAATCCCAGCACTTTAGGAGGCCTAGGTGGCTGGATCGCCTGAGGTCAGGAGTTCGAGACCAGCCTGGCCACCATGGTGAAACCCTGTCTCTACTAAAAATACAAAAATCGGCCGGGCGCGGTGGCTCACGCTTGTAATCCCAGCACTTTGGGAGGCCGAGGTGGGTGGATCACGAGGTCAGGAAATCAAGACTATCGTGGCTAACACGGTGAAACCCCGTCTCTACTAAAAATACAAAAAAATTAGCCGGACGCGGTGGCCCCAGCTACTTGGGAGGCTGAGGCAGGAGAATTGCGTGAACCCGGGAAGCAGAGCTTGGAGTGAGCCGAGATCATGCCACTGCATTCCAGCCTGGATGACAAAGACCGACTCCGTCTCAAAAAAAAAAAAAAAAAAAATCAGCCGGGCGTGGTGGCACGCGCCTGTAATCCAGGTAGTCTACTCGGGAGGCTGAGGCAGGAGAATAGCTGGAACCCGGGGGGCAGAGATGCAGTAAGCCGAGATCACGCCACTGCACTCCAGACCGGGCGACAGAGCAAGACTCCGTCTCAAAAACAAAACAAAACAAAAAACTTCCCCCACCTCTGTTTACCATTATTACAAAAAGCTTGCATGACTGCTCACTGCATCTTCTCCATCCTCCAAGGAAACATCATCGCATTTAAACTCTATCCTCCATTTCGCAAATGAGAAAAGAGAGGCTCAGGGGAGGAGACAAGTTGCCCAACTACCAAAATACAAATTCTAACTGGAGTCTTGGCTCTGAAGACTGTTTCCGTTATTTACGCTTTTAACACGCTCCATCATTCCATCTTCCCATCGGTGTACCATTTAAAAAAACATATACCAGATAAATTTGGTAAGCTTTAAAACTTCCCCACGTCTGGGCTGGGGGCGGTGGCTCACGCCTGTAATCCCAGCACTTTGGGAGGCCGAGGCGGGCGGATCACAAGATCAGGAGATCAAGACCAACCTGGCTAACATGGTGAAACCCTGTCTCTACTAAAAATACAAAAAATTAGCCAGGCATGGTGGTGGGCACCTGGCACTTCTGTGGGCTGCCCCAAAGAGGCGCCAACGAAGAGGGGGCCTCGAGGGACCGGAAGTGCTTAATGCGGACCAAGATGGCGGACCTTGATTCGCCGCCGAAGTTATCAGGGGTGCAGCCGTCGTCTGAGGGGGTGGGAGGTGGCCGCTGCTCCGAAATCTCCGCTGAGCTCATTCGCTCCTTGACAGAGCTGCAGGAGCTGGAGGCTGTATACGAACGGCTCTGCGGCGAGGAGGTGCGGGGCCGAGCCTCTTGTTTTTCATGGAGGATCTAGGGAGAGTGGGAGCCTTCAGTCGGTGAATCCGGGCTGTGGGAAGCTCTCCTTGCTGGGGGATACAAAAGAGCGGGAAAACAAAGAAGCGGAAGCGTAATCAGAGACCCCAGACGTTAAAAGCAATCTCCACGAGCCCTATTTTGAGCTAGGACATGTTCCCACCCTGTGGATGGAAGCGACAGATGATTGCAGGAAGCCGTTTTCGCGCCTCAACCATTCCTCTGCACCTCCTCCTGGTCCCCAACCTCGGACCTCTCGGGCCTAGACTGCCCGTGACCCCCGCCAAAGTCTCGGGCCCCCCTTCCATATCGCCGCTCTCCGCCTCCCCGAGCCCGGGGAAATCTCCAGGCTGTTTTTTTACCCTGCAGCGAGAAGGATGGTGTGGATATCCGACGGATGCTACCTCCCTTCAAAACTTAAGCCACCACTAACTCCAACATACTGGCGTCCGCCATTAGACCGCAAGACAGGGGCATTCCGGTGGCGCGCGGCGGAAAAAGACACCCAACCCGCGGGCCGGGCGCGGTGGCTCACGCTTGTAATCCCAGCACTTTGGGAGGCCGAGGTGGGTGGATATATGCTCGTATGTCTCTAAAATTAATTCCTGTAA